ATGAACACGCACACATTCACACCCGTGTGTGGAAACATTTGCAAAAACAAGTGAATGCTTTTTTCCATACAATTTCGCAACAAGGAAAGCAATGAAAGAAATGCAAATGCATAACAACATGTTACTGTCGCTGCACAAATGCACATTCACGCACATGCATACACATAAGTATATGTATACTTGTATGTATGCGTAGCGGCATGCAGCTTTGCAAAAAAATATATTTGCATAAATGTATAAACGTTGTTGTGCACACTGTTTGTATTAAATAATACAACTGGTTACACAACTCGCTTTTTATGAACTGCTGTTGAACTAGTGATATTGTTAGTAGTTTAGGAGTACCCGTTAAGGATGGATTTTTTTAAAATAAAATCTCTATTTAAGCGACTTTATCGCGTGACTATGAGTGAGTAGGTCACAGCTTCAAATCCTATTTTTAGAAAAAAAAACAAGAAAAAACGTTAATTTCGGTTGCACTGAAGCTATTATAGCACAAATACAAAACATTCCAAAAAAATACAAAAACTTGCGTCCGATTGTTCCGTTTGTATGGCAGTTATATGTTATAGTGATCCGATCTGAACAATTTCTTCGTATATAGCTTTATTTGCTTAGATAATAACCCACGCCAAAGATATCTTCTCAAATTAAAAACTTTTCCATACAAACGCTCCTTCCGATTTTTCAGTTTGTATGACAGCTAATGCTACAAATAGGGGAAAAGGACGTGTATAAAATGTTAAGTCGATATCTCATAAACTGAGTGACTAGTTCGCGTATATACAGACAGACGGACGGACGGACAGACTGATGTACATGGCTAAATCGACTCAGCTCTTCTGGGTGTTACAAACTTAATATAATATACCCTGTTGAGGGTATGAAAAGTAAATACAATTACAGTTAGATAATTTTTTATATTCTCTCTATGCTTAAACTCAGTTCCTACTGCGTCCGGCGTTCTTCAAACTGACATACTGGTGCCCAAGTCAGAAATTTAGAAAAATAATCAATGTTCAAAGCAAGATATCGATTATCAACTTCGCAGTTACCTTAGAATGTATGAATTACATATCCGTCGTAAAGTCAGATGATGACTGATTCAAAATTTCATGCAATTAGTTGGAAATGGCGCCACCAGTTGAGTAGAGCACACACTTTTTGTTTAGGTTTCTGCTAGTTTGCCGTCTAAGATCTGTTTAATGTTCAGGTTAAGATAATTGTAATATGGTGCATTTTAATATAAAAGTATATTAAATATGAAGACCCAACTTTTGTTTTTCCTAGTTCTTACGATTGAAAATCACTTCTGGGAGTGATCCTATATGACAATTCATTCTACCAAAAAAAGATACTTGATATTCTACCACAGCAAAAATAAAAATTTTTCTACTTAAAAATGAAAAAAAATATCTGCTTCTTAATTTTGACGGGAATAACACTAATAACCTAAAAATCGATTTTTGAAAACTCGAGAACGAACAACTTTTTCACTATAATGGGTTATGCGGAAAACCTGCCCAGCTTAATTATCTAAAGACATCATACATTTTTTTCATTCGAGGCGGCCGAGCAACTATTTCTCTCATGTCCCCGAGGTCATGATTGTGACTATAAGTATTATATATGTATATATATAATGATCTATTAAAAGCCAAAGAGCTTTTTTTATAATATTTAAACCGAATAAGCTTCGCTGGTCTACAAATATTGCGAGTATTGAGTTTGATTAAGTCATCTGTTAAACTTCAAGTTCACAACACATATTTTGATGATACTGAACGAAATTTTATCTCACCGCTTCAGGAACTTTAAGAGAAACTGTAACCATCATAGCTTCACCGCCCTAACCTGGATAAGAAAGACTTGATCAATAACATACTATCAACTTTGTATGATCAAGTCCAATTTCAACTATTTACTTTCCATTTGAAATTTAAACATCTAATTGAGACTCAAGTTGGATCAGTGATAATTTATTACAAACCACGAGCTCCAGCTGTCGGGTATACATGGCAATACAAAAGAAGTGAATATGTGTGGAACGGTATGCGTATCCTGCTGTGCGTGTGAAGCATTAAAATTGCAACGTTGAATAACACGACCACCAGCAACACATTTAGCAACAGCAACAGAAACAACAACAATGGTAACACAACGGCAATAACAACAAGCAAACAACTAGTGCCGCCAGCCGTGCAAAAGCGCATTAAAGCGACACATAGCCAACGGAAACGGAAAAGGAAAAGGAAGAAGATGAGCAGCTAGTCGACGACCAGGACGAGCACGGAGCAGACCAAATAGCTGCGGAGCTGGCGACAAATGCATAAGCATAAGCAGGAACATAAGCATTTTCGCGCAAGTATGGGGTACAGCGACCAGCACACACACACACACACCTGCATGAACAGAGAACAAAGCATAAGAAAAGGGGAGAAAGAAGTGGTCGCCAAAGTAGGCACTTTTAGTTGCTCAATTTCAGCTTCACACTTCCGACAGCGAAGCCTAAGGCAGACGTTGGTGGCAAGCAATAGACGAAAAGAAGTGTGTGGGTAGCAATTACTGCTTGTTGCGGGGTGGGGGCGTGTGCTGCCTGACAGTGCAGAAAGTTGAAGAGAACAGGTGACAGTCGCAAAGTTGCCCGAAGCCGGGGCTTTTGTAATATGGCTTGGCCCATTAGGGGCTTTGCTCATATATTTTCCACACTTTATGCGGCCATCTATACTGTTATATGTATGTGTATATATATATATATATATATATACAATCGGCCATATGCAACCAAATTAAAGAGCACAGCAGCAACACCAGAGACAAATAAAAGGGCACAGAAAACGAAGCAGTCATCATTTAAATGCGCAGTCGAGCAATGCATGCACCATGAAGACCATGAGTGGAATTGTTAAAACAAGAAACTGCGAAACTCTTAAAAAGTGGAGGCGACGGAAAAAATTGCAATGCTGTAGAAAATAAACGAACAAGTGTCACTTGCCAGCGACATAAATGAATGAGCGAAATGAACAAACAGAAACTAACAAGCTCGAACTTAGCAAACTGCTTCGACTGAAGATAGGAAGGACGAACGGAGGAAGATAAAATAAATAAATAAGGGTATACAACAAAAAAAAAAATAAAAAATAATAGAAAGACATATTTAAGATACATAATTAAAGCGAGACTGTTCAAAACCGGAGAATTATGGCAAAATAATTAAATATAATTAGGTTAGTTATAATGCTGAAGAGCGCTTGGTGAACAAAGCTGTTGTAAAAAGCTTCGAACAGGAAAGTTAACGGCAAATCCGACAAGCACCGACGTTATAGCATTTTAAATTAATTAAAAATTAATCGAATATAAAATGAAAAAGAATACCAAATAAAAGTCAATGCTCAAACCTTATGGCGGAAGACCCATCAGATCAGATGTCTTCTTATTAAACAGAAAGCCATATATGCTTATCGGTTTTCTCAGAAATCATTTTATAAGACGACGTCTTAAAACAGCATAATACAATATTTCAGCAGCACCAACAAATTATTTCCAAAAGCGGATCATAGAAATAACACAGAGGCCAGAACCTTACTTTAAGGTTATAAACAAAATTAGAAAGACAATTAACTTCTTCCTTTAATCTTTCCCTGTGAGTAATGTTGCAGGGTTAAACTATTTCAATAAGAGTCGCGCAACTCTTCCACAAAGTCTTCTTCCATTTACGTAGCTTGATGCATATAAATTAATTTCTGCTTGCGATAAGATCTGCCACGACACTAATGCCGTCTAATACCCATACTCATTTATGCTAACGCTTTTATTTTGGTTCAACTCAGTCGAAACAGTTTGCTTCCCACCGTTAGATGGTTTCAATAACTGTCATAAAAAAATCTAACAGAGGATTCTTTTCCTAAAAGGTTTAGGAATCCTTGAAAACCTCTACGCCTGCACTGACAGTGGAAGAAAATTGCTGATTCTTATTACAATATAACACTGAACTTAACCTTAACTAATTGATAAAGGGTGACTTGAACCTAAACTCGTTGAATTATGTGCTTCCACGGAACATTTTTAATAAACCACCTATTTCTGAAATTGTTAATATACCCGTTGTGATCCCCCAATTTGGGTTTTTCAGCCTACATGCATATTTTTTATTAGAAAGGCGTACTGGGAAAGCCATACAATTCCAAAAGGGCAGTAAATTAGGAGACTGGTTTTTAGTTTGCTTGGAGCTCATTGCCGTCTACGAGTCGGAAACAGTCGTGGGGTAGTTAAGGACAGCTATTGAAATTCCATAGTAGTTAAAGAGTTAATAAAAATTCATGTCGGCTTCTTCCAGTCACAACTTCCACTAGTTCATTAAGAATTCATTAACAAATTTAGCCTGCTTCTAGGAATTCATCTCTTTCAATTATATTTTAAAAGTCGACTATATTGTACAAAAAAACATATTATAAGAAGGCGATCCAATGAACATACTGTCAAAATTTCAACCGATCGTAATTAAAGAGTCGAGACGGAACACGATTTCACCACTTCTAGAACTGTCAAAAAAGTAATGACGCTGCTAGACAGTTTCAACTCTTTTACAAAACAAAAGAAATTTATAAGATAATAATTGTAAAGATATGAAATGCAGGTAAGGGTGAGAGTTGCCACCATTGAAAAGAAAAACTTTTATGCATCAGATAAGAACGCTTACAATGTAGAAGTAATGAAGCTAATCTAAAAAAAAAAATGTGTGGCACTATTCAATACAACCCTACAACTCTCGTATGTTAAAGACATAACATGCTAAGCAATTTTATTGTACCAAATATATATAAAATTTTCGATGGATATTAATTTCTCTGAAAATTTCTTAGAACTGTATATTTCTGCTTTAATGTAATATATTATATAATAGACAAACTCTAATGTATAATTGTACAAATAAACTTTGAACTAAACTTTACATTCACATGCTAAACGTTACTAAATCAATATTATTTTTTAATTTTCAGTTTAATATCAAAGTGGCGACTATCATCTAAATCAGCTAGTTTCTACAATCATTAAAGCCAGACGTCTTCAGCACTATAAGGTAATTATAAACATTACAACCCTTTGATTAAGTAATATTTCAAAAAAGAGTGACTAGTGCAAAAATCAACAAAGTTAATTGACGTTCTTTAATATAAGATAAAAAAAAAAGAATTTATCACCAAACTGTGTAAAAAATCATTAAAGGCTTAACAGCTAACAGAAGTTTAATTTTAGAATTCACACTTTAGATCCTCTTTGAAAATTACAGTTGCAATGTCTATTCATAACAGGCCTTACAACAAAAACAAAATAAATACCAAATTGGAAGAAACAAATATACAAGTATATTCAAGACGCATACTTATAATTATATCGAGAAAGCCATCTTATGTAGCATACTTTCCCACATGCAGTTCAGTTTGCATGAAAAATTCAAATCTTAAATCTTCTTTCGACCTCAGTTGTGTTTAGCGATTTTTACAATGGAAAAACTATTAAGCAAAGAATTTGGAAAGTTTCTGATCACAATATATAAATGATCAGCGTGACCAGCTGAATCGATTTAGTCATGTCCGTCTGTTCGTTTGTCTGTCTATCTGTATGTACGCGAACTAGTCCCTCAGTTTTTGAGATATCGATCTAAAGTTTTTTCCACGTGCTTTTTTCTACAAGAGGCTGCTTATTTGTCGGAACCACCGATATCGGATCATATATAGTTATATAGCTTATAGCTGCTATACAAACTTTTTTATTTTTGAAGGGTATTATAGCTTCGGTGCAACCGAAGTTAAATGTTTTTCTTGTTTTACTTTGAAAACCATTCACTCCGTTATACATATATACAATATATATATATATATATATATCTTTACTCTCACTATTCACACATACATATATATCTACCCCAATGTGTTTTTTAATAAATATAACGGTATATTTAGGTAGTTGCCAACTACTATGTGTGTATTGAGGTGTGTGAGTATATATATGTATATGTATGGGTACGTGCAATGCGTTCATTCACACACTCGGGTATTTCGTTCATTGAGTGCAAATCAACGGTGTGTCCCACATGGGAACAATTTCACCAAGAATATGCATTTTTGCTTTTAAAACAAAAGCCTCGGAAATTGAACAAACAACAACAAAAGTAGATACAAGTATGTAATGTAGAAAAGATACACACTAAAAGCTAAGGCTTAGTAGTCATTTAATGGGCTGCTGTGCTTTTTTGAGTCAAAGCAAGCCAAACACATGACACACACAAACACATATGGGAGCTTTTGTTTATCACGCATACAACAACAACAAAGAAATTTACATTAACATAACACATTGCAGATTTTGTGTGTATTTTTATAACAACACGACTTAATTTTCCAACTGGGACAACAAGTACATACACTTTACACCCTGTACTTGAGTAGGAAAACGCGAATTTTTTGCATGCATTAAGTAGTATTATGAGAGTGCTTGCAAAATATTTGCATTCATAGTATTTATGAATACATGTGAGAATTTATAATTATATTACATACCTGTATTTAAAGTTTAATAAAAAGTCTTACATAATTTAATAGTAACTTCATTGATTATAATTAAGTTTATCGCAATATATAGATTGGTTTTAATTTGCCATTTCCCTCCTTGTTATGTTTGCGTTCCGCTCTCTTGCCAAAAAATTCTCTCGCTGCAACGCGGTTAGCGAGTTCAATTTGATATAAGCGAGTACATGTATTTCACATTTAACTGTAATAACCGTTGCCTGTTGTATATCTGTTGCATTTTGCCAGTTGTTTTGCTTTAAGCTTTATACCAGTTGTCTGTTTCTTTCGCTACTTTCCGGCAATTGAGCAAACGAAAACAGCTATTTTATTGATAAAGACTAACCTGGGTAACTTATAGCGATTAAGAGATTATAATAATTTTTTGTTAAGTGGATATATTCTCTTTTGAAAAAAATAAGAAAAAATCGAATGATAACCAAAAGCCCCAAAGTAACGGTATTTAAATGGTATAAAGCACTGAGAAGGAGTGGAAAAAAGAGAAAATTAATAGAAGGAAGAAACGGTTACTTGCTTCAAATGCCTCAATCGATATTATAGGTTATTTGAGAAAAGAATATTTTTGAAGTTAATATTACTTCTGGTAGAGGTAACGAAAAGCTGTCCTCGAATTGTAAGATTTGATCAATTCAAAATTTTCACATAATATTTTATTAAAACTAATGACGTAACCGTGTTTCGACCACTTTAAAACCGCAAAATCTAAGTAATACATATAACACGCCTCTTTAATAAAGGAATTAGCCTCTTCTCTGATTACTGTACGTGTATGTACAAACGTACAAAAATATAATAATCTCTAAGCTTGAGTTCTAATAATAGCTATATAAAAATATACTAATAGCATAGTTTTCCTTGACATACATAAGTGCTTATTCGCCACAATATATGTTTATATATACATATATATACCTATGCATACATTCGACACATTCATGGTCAGTGAGCAGAATCAAAATGCTAAAAAACAATTTCGCTTTATTTTTTATCACAATTACCCTATTGTAATTTTCAAGAATAATACCGAGCAAGAGCCAGAGCTAAGAAGCTTAAACGCTTATATTGAAGTACATGCCAAAGTACTTACTTGAACACATCAATGCTCGAGAACAATCTGCCAATGGAGAAATGCGTGCGAGGATATCTCAAGCGAGTAATTTTTATTTAAAATTCTCTTGGAATTCTTTTAATCACAAGTGTTTGCATGGAAAACATAAGTATATGCAGATACAATAAGCAACATACACATAACCAGTAGAAAATATCTTGAAACGGCAGTAGACTCATTCTACTTCTTGGTAATGAGATTAGTAACTAGTTATACCGCATATACTATAAAAATCAGATGAGTCAAATATTAAAATTGAAAACTTAAAAATCAAAATCAAGATAAAAGATAAAAAAAATTAAAAATTAAAGACAAAAGGTAAGAGATTACACAGTCTAGCAACTTGCAAGCAACAAAGCCGGCAAAATTAACTCAGTTTTTTGCAAAACTCTATATGAAGAAATGTAGCGAAAAGGTTCAATTTCATTGTTCGGCAAAAGGGTTAATAGATTATAATTCATTACTTATTTTGAAGGTCATAGACTCACTTAATATTGTTACTATATTTTACTGATTATAAATTTTACTGATATGAAATCATTAGGGACATAGAAATGGAAGAGCTGAGCATTAATTTTTAACATTACTCAGGTATACTTAAGAACTTATTTTCAAGCAATTTTTGAATATATAAATATAAACATATGTATATGTGGAGTAAAGTCAGACGGACGTTTTAAAATCCTTTGTTGCTTAATTGTGGCATGTTATATGTTTTCGTTTAATGGAATTTTGTGGGCGTGTCAGCGGTCCGATTCCATCTACGACCTCGTTCTTTTAGATTAAAGATTAGAAGTTAAAAGTAATATATAAAATTTAAAAAACTAAAAATTTAAGAAAATATGTTAAATATTAAAAATTAGAGATTAAAATTTAAAAATTAACGGTTAAAATTTAAAGATTACAAGTTAAAAATTAATTATCGAAGATTAAAAACTAAATATTAAAATTAAGGAAGAAATATAAAAATGTTAATTAGTATAGGTTAAAGATTGAGGATTAAATATTAAAAATTAAAAATTAAAAATCGTAGACTATAGATGAAATATTATTGACTAAATGTTAAATGTTAAAGATTAAAGATTAGAGATTAAAGATTTAAGGCTAAAGGTCAACTATTAAAAATTAAAGACTAAATATTAAAGATTTAAAATCGTAGACTATAGATAAAAGATTAACGATTATATATTAAAGGTTAAATGTTGAAAATTAAAGATAAAAGGTAAAATATATAAGATTATAAATTAAAGATTGAAGCTCAAAGCTTAAAGATTAAAGATTGGAGTTCAAAGATTAGGGATTAAAGATTAAATTGCAAAATTAAAGATTAAAAATTAAGAATAAATGTTAAAGATTGAAGATTGATGGTTAAAGGTCAAATATTAAAGATTAACCATAGAAATTTAAATATTAAAGATTAGATATGAAAAATAAATGATTAAATATTCAATATTAAAGACTCAATATTAAAGCTAAAAGGCTAAAGAATAAAAATTAAAAACTAAATATTAAATATTAAAGGTTAACGATTAACGTTTGAGGGTTATAAATTAGAGGTAAAAGATTAAATTAAGATTAATCAATTAAAGATTAAACAAATTGCCGATTAGAGATATCAAATGAGGCCGTGAACTTATTTTTATTTTGAAATCTGAAAATTTATAATATACCAGTATTACTAGGCATTCCATATCTCGAATTCATCTAAAAATCATTTTAAAGCTGCGGGTTCAGGCTCGTGGGGCACACCTTGGAAAATAAAAATATTCAATCATCATCTAGACCCAAGTCAATGAAACCCTAGAGACAAGCTTCGAAACACAATCTTCTGCCTTCTGTGAAGCCCCAACTGCTGGGTTATACATGTAGCATACTTGCAGACCCTCAGAGCCACTTAAAATGGGTTTTCACATAAATATACTTGTAGACAAATATGTAAACACACACGCCAACATACAATAAACAAAGGGAAACAGAGTGAGAGAGAGAGCGTACAATGCAAGCTAGTCAACAATGTGGCGAATGCAAATGCAACTTTGAATTAATCGAAAGATAAGCACAGCAACGACGGCATAACAGCAAACAACAAAAAAAGCCAATAATACAAAAACAAAACACACATGTATTGCAAATGCAAAAGTTAGGGTTGAAAATGGACTAAAGCGTCATGGTGAATGATTAGAGAATAAAAGAATTGAGGAGGGCAAAGGTAGAGGTAGAGAAGAGATGAAATATATATATAGAGAAAGAGAGAGAGGGATAAGGATGGAGCTGTGAGGCTGATAGTACTTAGGAGGTGTTAAAAGTGCAGAAAGCCGACAGAATTACCTTTTAGAAGCAATAATTCTAAAGTAAAGGCAGATTTATGAACAGATATTTGAAAAA